AGTAGCAGTAATGCTAACTAATCGGCACTCAGTAGCAGTAATGCTAAATACTCAGCACTCAGTAGCAGTAATGCTAACCAATCAGCACTCAGTAGCAGTAATGCTAAACACTCAGCACTCAGTAGCAGTAATGCTAACCAATCAGCTCTCAGTAGTAGTAATGCTAAACACTCAGCACTCAGTAGCAGTAATGCTAACCAATCAGCACTCAGTAGCAGTAATGCTAAACACTCAGCACTCAGTAGCAGTAATGCTAACTAATCGGCACTCAGTAGCAGTAATGCTAAATACTCAGCACTCAGTAGCAGTAATGCTAAACACTCAGCGCTCAGTAGCAGTAATGCTAACCAATCAGCGCTCAGTAGCAGTAATGCTAACCAATCGGCACTCAGTAGCAGTAATGTTAGCCAATCAGCACTCAGTAGCAGTAATGTTAGCCAATCAGCACTCAGTAGCAGTAATGCTAACCAATCAGGACTCAGTAGCAGTAATGCTAACCAATCAGCTCTCAGTAGCAGTAATGCTAACCAATCAGCTCTCAGTAGCAGTAATGCTAACCAATCAGCACTCAGTAGCACTCAGTAGCAGTAATGCTAAACAATCAGCACTCAGTAGCAGTAATGCTAAACAATCAGCACTCAGTAGCAGTAATGCTAACCAATCAGCACTCAGTAGCAGTAATGCTAACCAATCAGCACTCAGTAGCAGTAATGCTAACCACTCAGCACTCAGTAGAAGTAACAGTAATGCTAAACACTCAGCACTCAGTAGCAGTAATGCTAACCAATCAGCTCTCAGTAGTAGTAATGCTAACCACTCAGCACTCAGTAGCAGTAATGCTAAACAATCAGCACTCAGTAGCAGTAATGCTAAACAGTCAGCACTCAGTAGCAGTAATGCTAACTAATCAGCACTCAGTAGCAGTAATGCTAACCAATCAGCACTCAGTAGCAGTAATGCTAACTAATCAGCACTCAGTAGCAGTAATGCTAACTAATCAGCACTCAGTAGCAGTAATGCTAACCAATCAGCACTCAGTAGCAGTAATGCTAACTAATCAGCACTCAGTAGCAGTAATGCTAACCAATCAGCACTCAGTAGCAGTAATGATAACCAATCAGCTCCCAGTAGCAGTAATGCTAACCAATCAGCACTAAGTAGCAGTAATGCTAACCAATCAGCACTCAGTAGCAGTAAAGCTAAACAATCAGCTCTCAGTAGTAGTAATGCTAACCAATCAGCACTCAGTAGCAGTAATGCTAACCAATCAGCACTCAGTAGTAGTAAGTAGCAGTAATGCTAAACAATCAGCACTCAGTAGCAGTAATGCTAACCAATCAGCACTCAGTAGCAGTAATGCTAAACACTCAGCACTCAGTAGCAGTAATGCTAACCAGTCAGCACTCAGTAGCAGTAATGCTAACCAATCAGCACTCAGTAGCAGTAATGCTAAACACTCAGTACTCAGTAGCAGTAATGCTAACCAGTCAGCACTCAGTAGCAGTAATGCTAAACACTCAGCACTCAGTAGCAGTAATGCTAACCAATCAGCACTCAGTAGCAGTAATGTTAGCCAATCAGCACTCAGTAGCAGTAACGCTAACCAATCAGCGCTCAGTAGCAGTAACGCTAACCAATCAGCCCTCAGTAGCAGTAATGCTAAACCAATCAGCACTCAGTAGCAGTAACGCTAACTAATCAGCACTCAGTAGCAGTAATGCTAACCAATCAGCACTCAGTAGCAGTAAGTAGCAGTAATGCTAAACACTCAGAACTCAGTAGCAGTAATGCTAACCAATCAGCGCTCAGTAGTAGTAATGCTAACCACTCAGCACTCAGTAGCAGTAATGCTAACCAATCAGTGCTCAGTAGCAGTAACGCTAACCAGTCAGCACTCAGTAGCAGTAAGTAGCAGTAATGCTAAACACTCAGCACTCAGTAGCAGTAATGCTAACTAATCATCTCTCAGTAGCAGTAATGCTAAACACTCAGCACTCAGTAGCAGTAATGTTAGCCAATCAGCACTCAGTAGCAGTAATGCTAAACACTCAGCACTCAGTCGCAGTAATGCTAACCAATCAGCACTCAGTAGTAGTAATGCTAACCACTCAGCACTCAGTAGCAGTAATGCTAACCAATCAGTGCTCAGTAGCAGTAATGCTAACCAGTCAGCACTCAGTAGCAGTAAGTAGCAGTAATGCTAACTAATCATCTCTCAGTAGCAGTAATGCTAAATAATCAGCACTCAGTAGCAGTAATGTTAGCCAATCAGCACTCAGTAGCAGTAATGCTAAACACTCAGTACTCAGTAGCAGTAATGCTAACCAATCAGCACTCAGTAGCAGTAATGCTAACCAATCAGTGCTCAGTAGCAGTAATGCTAACCAGTCAGCACTCAGTAGCAGTAATGCTAACCAATCAGCCCTCAGTAGCAGTAATGCTAACCAATCAGCACTCAGTAGCAGTAAAGCTAACCAATCAGCGCTCAGTAGCAGTAAGTAGCAGTTATGCTAAACACTCAGCACTCAGTAGCAGTAATGCTAACTAATCAGCACTCAGTAGCAGTAATGCTAACTAATCATCTCTCAGTAGCAGTAATGCTAACCAATCAGCTCTCAGTAGTAGTAATGCTAACCAATCAGCACTCAGTAGCAGTAATGCTAACCAATCAGCACTCAGTAGCAGTAATGCTAAACACTCAGCACTCAGTAGCAGTAATGCTAACCACTCAGCACTCAGTAGCAGTAATGCTAACCAATCAGCACTCAGTAGCAGTAATGCTAAACACTCAGTACTCAGTAGCAGTAATGCTAACCAGTCAGCACTCAGTAGCAGTAATGCTAAACACTCAGCACTCAGTAGCAGTAATGCTAACCAATCAGCACTCAGTAGCAGTAATGCTAACCAATCAGCACTCAGTAGCAGTAATGTTAGCCAATCAGCGCTCAGTAGCAGTAACGTTAGCCAATCAGCACTCAGTAGCAGTAATGCTAAACCAATCAGCACTCAGTAGCAGTAACGCTAACTAATCAGCACTCAGTAGCAGTAACGCTAACTAATCAGCACTCAGTAGCAGTAATGCTAACCAATCAGCACTCAGTAGCAGTAATGCTAAACAATCAGCACTCAGTAGCAGTAATGCTAAGCAATCAGCACTCAGTAGCAGTAATGCTAACCAGTCAGCACTCAGTAGCAGTAATGCTAAACACTCAGCACTCAGTAGCAGTAATGCTAACCAATCAGCTCTCAGTAGTAGTAATGCTAACCACTCAGCACTCAGTAGCAGTAAGTAGCAGTAATGCTAAACACTCAGCACTCAGTAGCAGTAATGCTAACTAATCATCTCTCAGTAGCAGTAATGCTAAATAATCAGCACTCAGTAGCAGTAATGTTAGCCAATCAGCACTCAGTAGCAGTAATGCTAACCAATCAGCACTCAGTAGCAGTAATGCTAACCAATCAGCACTCAGTAGCAGTAATGCTAACTAATCATCTCTCAGTAGCAGTAATGCTAAATAATCAGCACTCAGTAGCAGTAATGTTAGCCAATCAGCACTCAGTAGCAGTAATGTTAGCCAATCAGCACTCAGTAGCAGTAATGCTAACCAATCAGCACTCAGTAGCAGTAATGTTAGCCAATCAGCACTCAGTAGAAGTAATGTTAGTGTCCTGCTGCCCAAAACCTTTTTGCACTTGTGTAACTCTGTTGTGACGCACATCTGAGGGTGCTGAGTCAAAGTGTGCGAGGGTGTGCTTAAAAAGTATTGAAACAGAGCCAGAGTCGAGGCGCTGAGGTCATCTCCCTCAGTAACCCATTTTAACCTCGTGTCTGTTCTGCCGATTCCAGAAAAAACACATTAGCATCTGATTCAGTCCACCCTCTCACCACTGTCTGGACTCTCAGCCAACTGGACACAGCCTACATCCGAAACTATGCCTTATTCACTACACAGCGCGCTGTTTGGGCTTCACATTTCCATTTAAAATGTGTCCAGGGCACTACAGCACTAAAGATGAACTTTAGTGAGCATAAAAAACCCATAATGCACTGAGCTGCACACGAAAGAATGAGGCTACAGTCAGAGTAAATACCTATATAGCGCTCCAATGTAGGGAATGAGGATTAGAGGACCACTTCTGTTCACTACATAGTTCTCCAATGTAGGGATTAGTGATTAAGGGACCATTTCTGTTCCCTATATAGTGCTCCAGTGTAGGGAATGGCGATTAGGGACCATGTCTGTTTCCTATATGGTTCTCCAAAGTAGGGAACAGTGATTAGTGGACCTCGTCTGTTCCCTATATAGGGCTCCAATGTAGGGAATAGTGATTAATGGACCATGCCTGTCCACTATGTAGTGCTCCAACATAGGGAATAGTGATTAAGGGACCATTTCTGTACCCTATATATCACCACAATAGTGTTCAATATAGTGCTCCAGTATAGGGGATAGTGATGAGGGGACCATTTCTGTTCCCTATATAGTGCTCCAATGCAAGGAACAGTGATTAGGGCATCATGTCTGTTCACTATTTAGTGCTCCAACATAGGAAATAATGATTAGAGGACCATGTCTGTTCCTTATATAGCGTTCCAATGTAGGGAACACTGATTAAGAGACCATTTCTGTTCCCTGTAACAGTCTTCAATATAGTGCTCCAAAGTAGCGAGCAGTGATTAGGGGACCATGTCTGTCCCTATATTGTGCTCCAAAGTAGGGAACAGTAATTAGAGGACCTCGCCTGTTACCTATATAGGGCTCCAATATAGGGAATAGTGATTAGGGGACCATTTCTGTTCACTATATAGTGCTCCAGTGTAGGGAACAGTGATTAGGGGACCATTCCTGTCCCCTATATAGCGATCCAAAGCAGAGAATAGTGATTAGGTGACCATTTCAAACACAGTGACTTACCTGACGCATCCCAGAATGCACTTTTCATTATTATGGCACAGAGACCCTTACGTTCCATCACTTAGAACTCCAAACTGCACTTACTCTTCGTATTTGATGTGGTACGTGACGTCCTCCTTATTGTGTGTTGTGGAATCCATCTGAGACGTCGATGGTTCCTCACTGTCCGAGTTCAAGCCCATGCCGGCCGTGCCGTTACTGTCCGAGGCCGGCGGGCAGGGCTCTGACTCTAGCTTGCCATTAGTCCGTTTGCTAGGTCTGCCCACCCTTCCAGTGGTGGGTGGCGTTTCAGCCTTGCTGTTGTGTCCTTTAGTAGCCGGGGTGACCCTTTCGATGGTGCCCTCAAACCAGGCACCAATGGTGACGTCCCTGCAGTCCACCAGCTCGTTGATCTGAGGACGGAAGAGAGCATTAACAGTGAACCGGACATTACAGTCACGTAACAGTCGTAGATAAATAGATAGACAGAAAGCTAGATAGACAGCTAGACAGACAGACAGACAGACAGACAGGCAGATAGATAGATAGATAGATAGATAGATAGATAGATAGATAGACAGACAGACAGACAGACAGATAGATAGACAGACAGGCAGACAGAGAGACAGATAGAGAGACAGGTAGGCAGACAGATAGATAGACAGACAGACAGACAGACAGATAGATAGATAGATAGATAGATAGATAGATAGACAGAGAGACAGATAGAGAGACAGACACAGATAGATATACAGACAGACAGATAGACAGATAGATAGAGACAGACAGACAGATAGACAGACACACAGACAGACAGATAGACAGACAGACAGAAAGATAGACAGACAGACAGATAGATAGACAGACAGACAGACCAACAGACATATAGTTAGATAGATGGATAGATAGATAGACAGAGAGACAGATAGAGAGACAGACACAGATAGATAGACAGACAGACAGATAGATAGACAGACAGACAGATAGATAGATAGATAGGTAGAGAGACAGACAGACAGCTAGATAGACAGACAGATAGATAGATGGTTTTGTAGCACTTTCAGCACTCCAATGTGTTTTTAAAAGCCTTTAATGAACCCGATTTTTTGCAGAATGGTGAAAATGTCAGTGCGAGAGAGACTCAGGAGTGGGCTGAAAATGTGTGAACTCCAACATCTGAATTAATGATTCACCTGCTGATCATCCAGCCAACGTGTGACGAGGGAGTCGTACTTTCACAATCACAGCCATGCACAACACAGAACATCACTGCCAATTGAAGGGGACGCTCTGCACATGAGCCTAAGGTCTCCATGCCCAATGCTGAGCATTACCTAGAGGGGTATAAAGCCCCCCAGCATTGGAACGGTGTTCTCTGGAGTGATGGAGCTCCATCCAATACCTTTGGGATGAGTTGGAGTGATCCAGAACTGACCATCCAACATCAGTACCTGACCTCACTAATGCTCAATCAAATCCTCACAGCAATGTTCAACATCTAGTGTAAAGCCTTCCCAGAAGAGTAGAGGCTCTTACTGCAGCAAAAGAGGGGCGACTCTGAAAGCACTCAGTATGGCTGTAATGCACGACACAGTGGCTCATGCTGGAAAACGTTAGTCGTATCACCGGCGCTGCAGCAGCTGCCGGCGTCTGCAGGTCTGAGCTGTGCGAGCAGAGGCACCGAGGCACCGACTCTACAAACCAGAGGAACGAAATGAGAAGAAAAGGCAAAATCATTCTGGGTACACCGCTGTGTATCAGAAGCGTGACTTCATGTTACAAGCGCACGGACTTCATGAGCAAACCAAACAGCCACAGCCTGGACAGGATGCTTAAAATGTTTTGGCCCAGCAATGTCGGCCACATTCGGGCAGCTAAGAAGCCTGCGGCTGACCAAAACAATGCTGAGTAGGGTTTTGATCCTTCTTACTAGCAAACACTTAGAAATGTCCTCAGTTTTCTTCAGTTTTTTCAGGATGTATACAAAAATAAATGTATCAGTATACTGACTCGTCTCACTCCTCAGCGACTCAAGCCTTGACTCGCTCCTCAGAGACTTGAGACTCAACTCAAACTCGCACTCAAGACTCAGACTTACACCACTAAGACTTAAGACTGAATTCAGACTTGCTCCTCAGAGTCTTGACTCTGATTCATATCCAAGAAACTCAAGACTCAGACTCGCACCTCAGAGACTCACACTCGCACTTCCAAGGTTCGAGACTCAGAATGGTACCATTAAGACTTAAGACTCGGCTCAGACTTGCTCCTCAGAGACTCAAGACTTGGACTCATGTCAGAGATTTAAGACTTGACTCAGACTCCAGAAAATCGAGACTCAGACTTGCATCACTAAGCCTCGACACAGAGCTGCACCTCAGAGACTTGAGACTCGACTAGGACTCGCACCTCAGAGACTCAAAACTCAACTCAGACTTGCTCCTCAGAGACTCAAGACTTGACTTGGACTCATACCTCAGAGACTTGAGACTCGACTCGTACCTCAGAGACTCGAGACCCAACTTGGACTTGCACCACTGAGACCCAAGACTCAGAATCATACCTCAGCGACTAGAGACTTGACTTGGACTTGCACCACTAAGACCCAAGATCCTGACTTGGACTTTTCTCACTAAGACTTGAGACAGAGAATCACACCTCAGAGACTCAGGACTCGACTTTGACTTGCACCACTAAGACCTGAGACTCAGCTTCACGCCTCGGAGACTTGAGACTTGACTCAAACTTGTACCTCAGAGACTTAAGACTCAATTTAAGACTCGAGACTTGGACTTGCACCTCACAGAATCTGAGACTCAATTTGGACTCCTATGTCAGAGGCTTACAACTCAACTCGGACATAGAATTGAGACTCAGACCTGCACCACTAAGACTTGAGACTCGACACAGAGTTGCATCTTAGAGACTCGAGACTCAACTTGGACTCACACCTCAGCGGCTAGAGACTCGATTTGGACTTGCACCACTAAGACTCAAGACTCTGACTCATACCTCAGAGCCTCAAGACTCGACTCGAACTCGCACCTCAGAGACTTGAGACACAACTTGGACTTGTCTCACTAAGATTCGAGACTCAGACTCATATCAGAGACTTGAAACTCAACACCGACTCACACCTTGCTTTAAACAGTTTCTCACCTTGTACACGCCGATCCCAGGGTTTACGAGGGACGTCGGGGACGATGTGGACGGCTGACTATCCAACGGTGGACTGCATGACTTGGAGCCGTTTCCATTGTTACTAGTGACCGTCACTGGGGAGGACGTGGCTGCCGTTGCTGTACTGGAGTTGGGAGCCAAGCCAGAGGTGGGAGGGGCTGTGTTACAGACCACTCCCTCACAGTTGTTGGTGACGGGACTGTCCGGGGGGTCGGCCTGAGAGCGAATGAGAAGCTGGATGATGTCGTTGAGGCCAACGTTGTAATCAAACAACGTCTGGCCATCTTCCATCTGTGGATAAAAATAAACAAATAAACAAAAAAAAAAACACGTAAATACAGAGACAAACCACCCTGGATACAAATGAAGAATCAACATGTTCACACACGCAATATCAGATCAGCCCTCAAACATGTTTAAACCTCTTTACGCCAAGAAGGTTTCAGTACGTGCTTTTAACAACAGTTTGGAAAAGAAAATGATTATGAGCACCATAACTGCTTCATGACGAAGACTGAGTCCTTCATAATGAAGCATAATGTTTCATACCTGCTTCATTAACCACTGTAACCACTTCACTACGCATAACTGCTTCATGAAGCATTATAACTTATATAAGAATTATTTTTCATAAATAAAAAACTCATTAAACAAGGTAACCACTTTTGCACATATAACTTCTCCTCACTAAGGTGTTACCAGGTTGTCGCTATGGAATCCCTGATGGTTGCTAAGGTGTTGCAAGGTTGTCGCTATGGAATTCTAGGTGATTGCTAAGATGTTGCTAGGTTGTCGCTATGGTATCCCAGGTGGTTAGTAAAGTTGTTATGGAATTCCAGGTGGTTGCTAAGTTGTTACTAGGCCATTGCTATGAAATCCCAAGTGATTGCTAAAGTGTTACTAGCTTGTTGCTATGGAATCTCAGGTGGTTGCTAAGGTGTTACTAGGCCATTGCTACGGTATCCCAGGTGGTTGCTAAGGTGTTGCTAGGTTGTCATTATGGAATCCCAGGTGGTTGCTAAGGTGTTCTAGGTTGTCGCTATGGTATCCCAGGTGGTTGCTAAGGTGTTGCTAGGTTGGCACTGTGGAATCCCAGGTGGTTGCTAAGGTATTGCTAGGTTGTCACTATGGAATCCTATGTGGTTGCTAAGATGTTGCTAGGTTGTTGCTGTGGAATCCTAGGTGATTGCTACGGTGTTGCTAAGTTGTTACTATGGAATCCCAGGTGATTGCTAAGGTGTTGCTAGGTTGTTGCTATGGAATTCCAGGTGGTTGCTAATGTGTCGCTAGGTTGTTGCTATGGTATGCCAGGTGGTTGCTAAGGTGTTGCTAGGTTGTCGCTATGGAACCCTGAGTGGTTGCTAAGGTGTTACTAGGTTGTCGCTATGGTATCTCAGGTGGTTGCTCATAAGTGTATGTATGTAAGTCTGTATGTAGTGTTTATGAGGGGCAGTGTGCAAGAATTTTGAATGAAGTTTGAATGAACGCTGTACAAAAACGGAAGTTTTCTGGAAAAATGTGACCCACGAAAACATAACAAAATACAACAAAAGAACTCTGCCAAGCCAACTTAATAATGCTTTATAATGCATCATAACTACATTAAATAATCAAAAGCAGGTGTGGCTTGAACCACTGTGTGAGGTGCTGGTTGTATTTGCTAACAGATGACAGACTAATCAAGAACCACTGATGTTAATAATGTGCCTATGAAATGTAATTTAGACAGCCAATCAGCTGTCTAGATTTTAAAATAAGCTTGCTTATTGGCTCACTGGCGCTGACAAGATTGACTACTTGGGTACTGAAATTTGGTAATGAATGACAGAATTTTTCAATGCTCTGTGATACTGGAGTGATCTATATAATAAAAGTGTACAACTTCGATACCCAGCTCTGTTCATGAAGCAGCATAACTGCTTCATAAAGCATTATAAGTACATGAAGCACAGAAGCTGATGGTGTTTCTGGCTCCTGGTTGTGAGGAACAACGACTTTTGCTTAGCATGAAATTCGTCTGCTGTGTCTTAGACTGAACTCCAGACATATGAATAAATAAATAAATGAATAAATAAATGAATAACAGAAGAGTGACCATCATGAGGGGTAAGGGGTAAGTTGCTATGGTAACCAAAAAAGACTCTCACATACACACATAGACACTAGCGGCCGTTTATATTCTCTCCTGACGCAGCTGCACGCAAAAAATAACAGTACACAATCGTTTTTGTAAACTGCGAATTAAACAAATCATGATTTATTAATAAAACAGACTTGTTTAATCGGATATCTGTGATATTTAAACAAATACATGTGAGATTCTCCTCAGACCTCAGACCTCAGCTTCTCAGCGGCGTTCACATGCTAACCACAGTGATGAATCAGAGAGGAAACGCAGCACCGAGAGATTTACAAACCACAAAATAAACCACACAGGAGCTCTGTGTTTTGGTTTTAGCGTAAGTTTATAGCTGGCTTTATAGCTATTTTTATATATAGTTGTTTAATATTTATAGTTATATTTATGTTTATAGTTCTCCAAAGTTCATGGGAATAATAGTGTAGTCACATTTTACATAATACTTTTAAACACAGAAGGTAGCACAGTTAGCCATTTAGCTAATAGGGCTGGGCCCGATTATTCAATTATTTGGACATACGTTAAAGACGAACTGCAGAACACTGGACCGTTCAGGGTTCTCGGGAGAAACTCAGATGACTCAAGGTTTCGCTCCATAATGCAGCTTTATTTTTAATCTGCTAAAAAACTGACTTAAAAAAATCTGACTTGTAATTACTCAGCGCCACACGATGTCTGTCTGAAAGGTAATTCTGGGTCCATTTTAGTGCATTTATATCAAAGCCGATCTTTAAGTTCCTTAAAAGGAGAGGATGATCAATTGTATCAAAAGCCTTTGATAAATCAATAAAAATGGCAGCACAATGCTTCTTCCTGTCTATAGCCATATAGAGATCATTTAAAACCAGTATAGTAGCAGAGATGGTGCTGTGTCTTTCTCTAAAGCCAGACTGATAATTAAACAGGACAGAATTTTCATGTAGAAATGATTTAAGTTGACTATTTACTAGAAGTTCTAAAATTTTAGCTAAAACTGGGATATACCAATACAGAATATATCGCATTATTCAACAATACATATTTCATGTAAAACAATTTTCCGCACATCCATATAAAATTTATTTTTGTTTCTTTTTTGCCTCCAAAAGTCTAAAAATATCAGGTGCTGGAACCGTCCAAGCATATATGCTGATTAAGTAACCTATCAAAAAAAGGAAACTTTGTTACAAAATTCTAAATAATAAGGCAAATTTAAAAGTCCTCAAGTCACTGAAAAACTTTCGTCCGCAAGTTCTTACTTCCTCAGATGTCAGGCGGTGCAACAAAAATAAGGGACTTTTATTTTGACATGCTTTTTATGAAAGAGGGGCCAGCGTTCTACATCATAAAGAAGACCCTAAGTGACCCTAATGGTGCAATGCTGAGGTCAAATTTAGTAAAAGTGTGATGTTTGAGTCGTGGTTAGAACAGTTCCGTTTACCATGTCAGGTGGTCTGACCTCAAGAGAACCATGTGGAATAATAATGTTTATTTATTTAATAAAATGTGAGTATAAACTGAAGTTGAAGGTCAAAGGTTTCTACAGGTGTCTAAGTAGATGCCTGTTTAATTTGAAATTAGTCTGAAAAGTCAGGCGGCGCAGCCAGTCAGTCAGAGGGAGCAACCAGACCAGCACAGCTTAATAACTGAAATAGGCAATTTAAAGGTTTGATAACACTCACTATGTTTAAGATAGAAAATACACACAGATATAAATGCATATATGATAATATATGTATGCAAATATAACAATGCACATCATGTGCCTTTTAAATGAGATTTTTAAAAATCGTCATTTTGAAAACCTTCATTTTCACTGAACCAAAAATCGCTACTTACTGTATTAATATGATTAGCATGTTTAATGTAATAATTATTCTACTACTTGTGGTTTATCTGCTGTAACTTAAGTCAGAAAAAAATAAAAACGCATGATGACACAGCAAGCATCATAAAAACTTTCCTGAAGTATCATGATATGATATTTTGTCACATCGCCCAGCTCTAATGTTTACTGCAGTGAACGAACTTAAATACGGCATTTTTCTGAAAATATTACTGGACAATTTCATAAAAAAGTTTATGAATTGAATTAAAAACCAATAAATTGTTAATCGAATTGATTTGCCATCAGCTCAAAGACTCACACCCCTAATACACACAAATGCAGAAACACAAAAACACACACACCCCACACACCCACACACACCCCACACACCCACACACACTCACACACACCCACACACACCCCACACACACTCACACACACACACACACACACACTCACACACACCCACACACACTCACACACACCCACACACCCACACACACTCACACACACTCACACACACCCACACACACTCACACACACCCACACACACTCACACACACTCACACAGTTCATGTTTGTTTTCACACTTATTTCTGACAGCAGTGCGATGTGTTTGTGTGTATTACACTGGGTTATAGTGTGTTAGTGTGTGTTATGTTGTATTAATGTGTGTTACAGTGTGTTACGGTGTGTGTTACAGTGGGTTAGGGTGTGTGTTACAGTGGGTTAGGGTGTGTGTTACAGTGGTTTAGGGTGTGGTGTGTGTTACGATGTGTTAGTGTGTGTTACAGTGTGTTAGTGTGTGTTACAATGTGTTAGTATGTGGTGTGTGTGTTACGGTGTGTTACAGTGTTTTATGTTGTGTTATCTTGTGTTACAGTGTGTTAGTGTCTGGGGTGTGTTTCATTGTGTTAGCGTGTGTTACATTGTGTTATGGTGTGTTAGTGTGTGTTACAGCAGTCACGACTGGAGCTTCCTGCTCACACAAACACAATTATCATTCTCTACCATCACATTTTCCACTGTCTGAGTGAGTGTGTGTGTGTGTGTGTGAGTGTGTGTGTGTGTGAGTGTGTGTGTGTGTGTGTGTGTGTGTGTGTGTGTGTGTGTGTGTGTGTCTGTCTGTGTGTGTGTGTGTGTGTGTGTGTGCGCGGGTGTGTTATGTTAGGGTAAATAGCGAACATGGCGGCTGCACTGACTGCAGACGGCGCCGGAGCGAAGAAGAAGAAGAAGCCGCCATTTTCCCTCTGAACACCAAAACACCAACACACACCAACACACATCTGTGTGTGTGTGTTACGAGAGAAACACCTCCATACGCTTTCTGACAAGAGGAAATAT